ATTTACCCCCAATTTTCCCCTTGGCGACGAACATGATCTAAATGTGACTTAGGTTTTTACACTTTAAATAAAACGTAGTTGTAATATAGAACTTGGTACCCGTTACATTTGGTTTCATAGACCAATTAAAATGTAGACCAGGTTCATATAGAAACTGGAATCACTTCTGCAGTCAAACACGAGAGTATTTCCATGGATTACAAAGATTATTTTAAACACAAAATAGACGGTTTTTATTTAATTTTTATTAGTAGTTACTCAAACCGGATGTTTTATACTACAGAAGATTTTTTTGTTCTTAAAATGATTTAATAATTTCAATTTCATAAACAATTATATCATCATTCTAAAGCCAAGTTAGTTCAACTTTTTACTAAAGCAAATGTCAGCAAAAAGATTTCTAAAGTCACGTCGGTACATTACTATGATTACATTAGTTTTTATATATACTTCGGTGATTTATTATATGTATTACTAACCGGGGACCTGGCACGAAAATTAATAAAAAATGATGCGTCGACACAAATTATTTGTACACCATATCGAGCGTGAAGTACGCTGACAAATCTAAAACAATATCGTCGAGGACAATACAATTATTTTCTCGCAAATTTTCGTGCTATGGCTTCTGAACACATGCGTTGCATAAAGTAATAATAATCAAAATACTGTCTCAAAAAAGACGAAAAATGTTTGTATTTTTTAGATCTTAAGCATGCATCTATCTCTATCAACCTCAGGATGATGTCCTCGAATAATCGATTTTGCAAAGAATGTTAATAAAATCGATATAAAATCGTTTTAAAATAGAAATTCACTTTCCTGGCCATCCAATTATAAAAGCAAATAAACCATCAAAAAAGTATTTTACAATAGAAAAAAATAACCTAAACCAATATTCGTCACCTGTCACGTTGACAGAATGTTTTTTTAATTCACAGTTCGATTAAAGTTAAAAATTCTCACGTGTATTGTTTTTGACGGGAAATAGAATTTTTTTTTTAGAAATGAATTCGCTTCGTAAAATAACACGTTTTTGTTTCGAATCCGAATTAACGAGCATTAATCGGAGCGTTGTGATTTTTTTTTAACAAATCTTTGATACTGCAGAAATATTTTTATATCTAAAAATGTAAATTTTTTAGTTTCCATAAAACTGTAACCGTAAACCTTGTTACCCTTTTTATTGTCTATATCTATACTAATATTGTGAAGATAAATATTCGTATTTTTGTTTTTTGTATGTAATGAATTATTTCAAAAAATATTAAAAAATTTCAAACATTCTTTCACCATTAAGCTACATTATCGCTGACATAGGCTACATTTTTTATGTTAAGTGGACGAAGTCGCGACCACATCGTTGTATTGTATTGTATTGTTTTTTTTTTAATAGACTTTATTAAAAAAAAACAATAATGCGTATTAATCCAACTGCAACACCAATACCACAGACAGATTCTAATAAGGCTATATTTGGATAGTCTAAAGGCCGATTACTGAAACGAAACTTTTAACACTTTATTTCCCAAACACAGCTTATAATCTGAGAGATGTCAAAATTTTATATACAACTAGGGTACAGAAATTCGCTGTTTATTAATAGTTCCTAAACATTTAGTAATAATTGCATATAGCTTGTGTTACTCTCAGATAAATTGTCTATTTAATGAAAAGAGTTTTTAACGAATTTCTAAAATCGTTCCATAACTTTTGTCTGAATCAAATATATACAAAAATCCAAAAATACACATCTTTCCTTTTTATAATATTATAGTATAGATTTGGAGTTCAAACGTGACGTTAGTTTTTAGGCGCTGTTACATGTTAAAATGTCGTTTCAGTGTTCGGCCGTCAAAGTAAGACGATATTAGTGCCTAATTAGTTAAGTGACCCGGTTTTTGATGTATAAAATAGTAGCTACACGAAACTTAATATGGTTTTGTTATTTTAACTAGTTACTTAAATTGAACTATGTAACCTATATAACTATCTGACTCATTAAAGGTAAGTTTTAATACTTACAATTTATTTGAACATAAGTACACACTACAAAAATATCCTTATGACCAACAGAGGTTTATGCTTGTGAAAAAAAATTATGAAAGAAGAGTTTTTTTTTTTCATTTTTACACGATTTTGTCTTTTTAATATTATACGTTTATTAATTTTAAAAGACAAAATCTTTTACTAGATAAAGATATGTTTTTTATATCAACTTGTGCTAGTAATCGCGAAATGTTCTTGTTTTCTGTACTTACTCGTTACCGAATCTGCTCTAAAATATATAACTTATTTAAAAAATAAGGAAATAAGCTATTTTTCATACTACATTTATGTCCTTCTAAGTTCCAGGGCTTTCTTAAGTTTTTAAATATCGGTATAAACTAAAAAGCCGTGATTTAAATCCATCTCTACATTTATTTATCTTTAATAACAATAATGGCCTCTTCCTTGCAAAAATTGAACTAGAGGTCACGCTAATTTAGTTCAAGCATCGTCTACATTCCTAAGCTTGATATATTAACGGATGCTCCTGCCGTAATACGAATTACATAGTGGTTTTTGAGGTTAGTATTTTAAAAAAGGAAAATTAAAGCATTTCAAACAATTTAAATCAGATAAACGTACCCTATTCATGAAATTGAATGAAAATTATTATTATTAATGTCAGCTATCCTCCAGTGAAAGTCCGGTCGAAATAGGTCCAGCCGTTTCGGTGATTACCCGGAACAAACGCGGCTTGAGGACAGACAGACAAACAAAAAAAAATTAAATGCGATTTTCGTTATCAGCAACGCAAATACAACACCTTCCCGTAATCTGGAATTTTTCTTTTGATGTCACAAACAGACACTGCAATTTTATTATAATACGAGCTGTTGCCCGCAACTTTGTCCGCGGTATTAGAAAACATACGAACTATATAAATTACAAAAAGCTACGTATCCCTCGGGAACCGGACATTTCTCGGGGATGAAACTTATCCCATGTGTACTCCAGACTTTGTTTTATATCTGTGCC